CCAATCAGTCATAACCCAACTAAATTTGGTAGCTGTGGCTTTTGGGACAGCTTGTTTGGCTAGCTCCCCTTTGATTATCATTTTTTATTAGCATATGATCAATGAAAAAAAGAGGCAAAATATATATCCTAGTTAGGGTAAGTATGAACTCTCTAAGTTTTACATCCTGTCAGAGTTAAAAACTTACAAACAAGTTTACAAAACTTAGTGTAAACTTCTGAGTGAAACAAGTAGCCTAGTCCCCTAAATTCTAATCTAATCTCAGTGATTCTATGTATCTGTAATCTCTATGGAATATATTGTCTGAATTATTATTAGGAAAAACAGGTTATGAATCAGAATATTAATAATAGCTTCAATTGAGAACAGATTCAGAGTGAATTTAAAATAAGGCAATGATTAATTAATACAAAATAACTCATATCAGTTAAACGTCTGGTCTAATAGGTATCTTCTGAATAGCATAGAGAGATTTCTTTAGAACAATATCTCTTTAGAACAGATTTAGTAATCTGTTATTCAAACTTCAAACAGGTAGTTGTTTCAGAAGAATAGGGTTCATATTAGTTAATACTAGTTCACTACACTGAAACTATCTTTTTTAATGTTTATAGCTAAAGATACAAGTGAACTCTTCCTGTGATATACGGAAACACCTATAGGCATCTTGCTCTGCAGGCACAATGAAATTTGCTCTTAATCACATTATAATGGTATCTGGTTTTTTGTTGTTGTTTTTATTTTGGGGGGGGGCTGGGGTTGTTTGTTTATTTTTTTGGTTGGTTTATTTTTCAGCAATTCCACAGCTATGACTAAAAATAACCGAGTGCGTGAGTCTTCCTCTTCTGTTTAGACAGAAAGCAGAGTAAGTGCGTTTCAGTGAGTGTTTAGCATGACAAACATTTTTTAACCCACACTGAAATGAACTGCAGTGATAATAGGGTCATTCCCTTTCCTGGGAACAAGTAGGATAAGTAGGTATCTTCTTACACCATTCAGCTTGGTTACATGAGAACCAGTAGTCAGTCACAATAAAGAATCCCAAAAGAGCCAGCTCGATCTGAGTTGTCAGTGTGCTATTGCAGGATATGAGCTCAGCCAGAGCACACATGCACTGTCTTGCTGGTACTGACAGGCTGCCCTTTAACATAACACAGAGGAGTATCTTGCATGGATTTCCTCTGAACTATTCAGAAAGAGGAAAGACTGTAGAAATGTAGGGAAATAATACCCAAGGTATACATCATCCACAAGCTTAGACCTGCCTTTGAGTACATAAGTCATAATTGGTCTTAGAGTCTTTACAAGCATTAAAGCTGTAAGTAAAAAGTCAAAGAAGACAAGAAAACCAAAAATGTTTTATTCAGCTGGTGATTTTCATGCAAGGTATTACTGAAACAATTTAAGCTACATGAAACAAAAATATTTGCAGATAAACTATAAATAAGATTATAGCACATGATTAGGACAAAAGACCATTGTATCAAGCCCGATTCTCAAGGGTTAAATTTCTTTCTCAGCTATTCATAATATTATCATTCTACGATTTCATGATTCATTTACTTATGTTCAAAAGCCAAATTTGCCTCTTTGTGAGAGCCACTGTAGCTTCTTATTGAATATAGTTGAGGAGGCTCAGCTACTCCCAAACACAACTTAATAGATCTGTGGGATTTTTACCACATTTTTAGATTGGGCTACAGGTCAGGTCAGCTGGCCTTCTTTCAGCCTCAAAAGAAAGTTAAAAAAAAGAAACTGAAGACAGACTACCCATTCTGAAAACCACTTTACTGAACAAGAATTAGGTCAGATCAATGCTAAAACATGTTCAAACAGTAGAGGCCACTTAAGAGAAGCTTCATGATTTAGACAAAATCATCACAAGTTAATTTTCTAGAGTTTGTACCTCAATTCTAACTTCTTCTAGGTTATTCATTTGGAAAGTGAGCTTGAACTGGATAGCTTCACTTTCATTTACAGGCTTTTTTTTTCTTACTAGAAAAAACCCACCTACTGAGTTGGAGGGGGTTGTGTTTTGTTTAGAGTAAATTTGTTTTTGGTGTGGCTTTTTCAGTTTTTTATTTTCTTTCTTTTATTTTATTTTCAATAAAGTGTGAAGATGTAATGGCATATCCCGGAAAAAGTTAAGTTTCTAATCCCTGCTTATACTCTGAGAAATTCTTCAGACTTTTAAAACCCTTAACAGTATCTTAAAACCATATGCTTTATGATATGAGAGATCAAGAATTGTCTTGTTACAGTTGAAATCATTTATGATGCTTTCCTGTTCAAAACATGACCTCTTTTTAAAAGAAATTTCATAACACTGGGAGAAGGGAAAATTAATCACAAATATCTGATGATTTGTTTCAGACCAAGACATAAAACATTCCAATGCTTATTAGGACACAAAACAATTTTTCTTCAAAACGCCACTCAGAGTCTAGAAACAAGTGATTTTTCCACCCACATAAGTAGACAAGAACACTCATGAGTATTTTGTTTTCTCTGGGTCAGAGTATTTGGCTGGTTCAACTACTCTGATATAGTATCAGAGTATAATAACAGAATTAACAATTCTGTTGTGAGGAAGTGTTTTTGGTTTTATCAGAACAGTTTTAGAAGCTGTATCTTCTATAACTAATTTTTTAAGAATGTTCCTTACAAAAAGGTTGCTATTTGGACATTTGTATATAATTGTTCTTCTTTTCCCTCAACAATCCAGTATTTTAACACCATCTCACGTCTTTCAATATCTCAAGGACTATAATTTAATGTTTGTGTGATTTAATGCCGTAAGATATTATCCCATGACGACCCCAACTCCACTAAATCATCCTTGAGGGAAATGAACAAAGGAATAATTCACATTGTGACTTTAACGTGGATTCCATAGTTACTAGAGTGGTCAAATAAAATAAATCACAAAATATCATCTGTTGTATCCTAGATGTCACTTAAATGCATAGAGAAGCATGTCTATTCTCTCAGTGCCCACTGTAGATCAATATGTAGTTCCACTAAAAGAGAAGAAATTATTTGAATAATTGGTGACTACTCAGCGTGGCAGAAGGGAAATTGGCACCCTTTTAGCAAAAATGGATGTCTAAAAAAGTTATAGAGAAACATCCAGGTCAACTGAAATGGCATTAAAAAAAATTAATAGGAAATTCCATGAAAATACCTCCCTGGTATTCCTCCAGCAATGTGATTAACATTAAACAAGAAATGAGCTTGGTGAAAAACCCAATCTTATTTGACCCAGTGTAAATCAGAACTAGATTACTTAATTATAATGAGCAAAGAATCAAGATGTTCAGGAAGGATCATTTTCATAATAAACTAGCCAATTAAAGATCATTACATCGAAAGGGAAACTGCATAAAAGGGAATAGGAGTGAATAGATTAGGTGAGCCATTGGAACAGGGTCCCCAAGAAGTTGTGGATGTCCTATCCCCAGAAGTGTTCAAGGTCAGGTTGGATGGGGCCTTAAGGAACCTGCTGTACTGGGGGGGGCTTCCCTGTCCATGGTGGTGGGATTGGAACTAGATCATCTTTAAGGTCCCTTCCAACCCAAACTTCTCTATGAATCTATGTTTCCATGAATATCAAATCTGTACACTTCAAATGGTTTCAATATCTACCCCTCCTGTGTTGAAGTAAATTTAAGCCTGTTCATTAACAGCTCCTTTAGCACATTCATTTTCAAGTGTTTTGTTTTTCAGATTTATCTGAGGTTACCATTAGTATTTTATACTGAAAGTGAAAGAGTGGCCTCAATTCAAAGCTGGGCTACAGGCAAATACACAAAAAAATACCCCCAGACATCTAATTTCACATTTTTCAATTTCAATTTTTTGTAGATGTCTCTGAAAGTGATATGACTAGTTCCATTAATGATACCCAATATATTTTGGAAATTCATTTATCTTCATTATATTGTGCAAAAAATTACATTCAGAAACACAAAAGTAACTTCTCTAACAATGCAGGAAGTCTAAACTAAAAACTAGTCTAGCTATATGATTACTTATAGCAGAGTCTGCTTCATAAAATGTTTGTAAGAATGAGTGAGAACTAATACAAACAAAATGCAGCTATCTGGATAGTCAGTAGGAACCCCATTAGTACTATATGCTATATCTGCTTATTAAACTCATAAACATTGCTCTTGATATTTGACCTTTGGTTCTCATTGCTGAAGGATCATCCACAGTGTCTCACACCATCTCTGATACTCTTAAAATAATGACGGACTGAATATATTTGTCCAGCATCAACAAATCATAGTATCAAAAAAATATGTTTCATTGCATTAGAATTATACCAAACAGCTAAGAACACATTTTTCTTATCCCATCTTCAGTTATTTTCTGAAGGAAGTTAGGGTTATACAACTCATTATTGAGTTGCATAACTTATGAAAATAGAAACACTGTGAAAACAGTGCTTTCCAACAAAAATATGCAGTACGAACTTCTGCAAACTCATAACAATATTTTCATGACAGTCATGTCCATAATACCACACCCATTTAAAGGTACCAAAGTTTTACTAGTTTATGCCATTACATATGCATTTCACAAAGTAATTTTATAAAGGTTTTCAGCAGTTAATCTGTATAATCTGTGAAATTTCTGCATTTATACAAATTTCTAATCAAAACTAAGAAATAATTTTTAACAAGCTGTCACTTAAATTTAAAAACTTACCTGGTCATGGTAAGTAAGCATTCTACTACCCTTGAAAAATAAGTTATGTTTAATGGGATGTTAGAAGCAATACTACGTGACAGTAACAAAAAAAACATAAAAGAGAAGAATCTAGCTAGATATAACTTAGCCTCATACTTCAGATACTGTTTTCTGATCTTCAGTACATTTGCTGGGCATTTCAGATAGTTTTCCTCCTTAGCATCAGCATGATAGCAACTCATACTTTGTCCCTGAAGACATTTTTAGAAATTAAGCATTAAACCCACAAGCTTAAGACCCCTTACCCTCTGTGTTTGCTGGGCTCCTCTTTCTTCTCAGTGTAACAGACACATGTGTAAACAACAGAATTTCCTACATCCTTTTCTCATCGGCACTGTACTGGGACTTGGCCAATTGGATTATTTACAGCATTTAGGCCACTCCACAGTAATTTGAAAAACATTCCCATTGGTCAGGCATTATCAAAACTAAAACCACATTTTTCTTTTAAATACAAATCATTTATACAAAATAAAACTTTTTCTTATACTGTTCTTCACTAAGCATTATTTGTTCAGTTTTGATTTCCCCCTCCCCTTCTAAACTTAAATTGTGACCCCAGTCCCCCAGATATTATGTATACGATGAAATTAGTTATTTGAATCACAGTACTCAAGTACAGGTCCTAGCACTCAACCAAATTGGTTGGATTCTTCTGCTACTACTTACTTCTGCTATCCCTCCTAAGTTTTAAATAGCCTAAAATAAGACTAGTTTTTCACTCAGGTGGATGATATAGCTTTGAAAGTACACGTACTTTCATAATTAGCTCTGCAATTAGCCAGGGGCTCTTGGAAGTTATTATGAAAAACTGCAGTATTCTAGATTATCAGAGAGGTGAAAAGACCAAGGTAAGGAAAGCTAGGAAAATATACCCAAAACTTTGAAAAGCTATTTCTGCACTAAAATTTATGGTTAAATATTAAAATGTAAGGTAAGAAATATTTCTTTCTGGAATACAAACTCCAGCTTTTTGTAACCAACATGACAAAGCATGACACTGTCAGAAACCTGATATCACAGGCTACCTAATTGGCAGGTCCTCAAGGCATAAAACTGATACAGTTAGACACAGATAAGATGATTTGCCATAGCTGTGAAAAGCCAAATATTTCCTATTAAAAAAAAAAACCCTCATAATGTACAGAATACTGACAACTCCTGTGTCACAATCTCAGACTGAAAAGCCAGACTTCCTTTAGCTTTAAGGGACATATCTCTACTTCCCTACTAATATCCCAATACTTTTAGCATCACCATAGCAAGTAGTCTTTCCATAATGAATAGTAGCTATAGCTGCATGACTCTTTGCTTGTCTGACACTAGGACTTTCAATTAATTTTTTAGTTTTAATTATTTTAGGGAAATGAACTAGCAAATCCTCCCACTCTTCTGTGACTCAAAAAATCTATTACATTGCCAGGAGACAAAATACATTTCTTCTGAAAGACATAAGTAAAATAGGTGAAAAAAATCTCTCTATACATTTCTGCTAAAAACCCAACCCAAACCAAACAAACAAAAGCTGCAAACCAAAGCAAAAATACCCCAAAATCCAAGGCGAAAAATATGACTCCACACAAAACAACCCCAAACAAGCAAAAAAACCCAAACCAAACCTAACGCCACAACAAAACAAAACCACAAGTCTGCGTCAAATTAAGAGCAAACACACACACAAGAAACCCCCCAGCCCAACTAAACCCAAATCCAAACAATAAAATAAGGCAACAGCTACTTCATGCATCTTGCATGGCTTCTTTAGCAATTAAATAGATCCCATCTCCCACTAGAATACTCTCTGGTTACATTCCATTACCCCTACTGAGGGAAATCACTTCACAGTTAAAAAATCAAGTTATATAAATATCGTAACTTAAGCTTCTAACTACTCATATTTCAATCCATTCATGAGATTTCCCATTCATTTTCAACCATTCTTCACTTGCTACATTCTCTGAGTGCATCCAAGAAAGCTCTTCTATTGCCCATATTTAGAAAAATTCGTGGTTTCTAAAGAAATTGATGCACATCTATTTTGTCTGAAAGGAAGGGAAGTAAATTTGGTCACATCTGAAAATGTCTTCTCAAGTGAAGATAAGCAACAGAAAATTTATCATTCAAAAATCAGTAAACACAAAGAAAAAAGTGTCACTACAACATGTGAAGGAACTAGTACTCCTGGAATTGTCATTTAAATACCTTTTGGGAAGGAAAACTGTACTTTTCAAGAAAAAAGGAACAAAAAAGTATTATGTATAATAGACTAATAGTAAAGCTATAAAAAATCCTCAGCTTCTATTCTGTTGCATTCTGATGTAACCAGAAATTCTTGGAGGAGTCTGGATTTTATACCATTGTTAAAAATGCATACGAATTTAACTAGAAAATTACTGTAAAATTGGGAAGTTACTATGCTACTTTTGCAAATATACTCTTATTTTTTAGTTTCATTTGACCATTTAATTTGATGCTGTGTCATTGCAATAACTACACAACAGATGTTGCCAGTTTGCAAGTTTGCTAACTCATGACCTTCACATGTAGAGCTGAATTGTCTGCCTAGAAGTCCCCATGTATGTAAACAATTCTTAGTTCATACTAAGAACATTCATATATGCTCATCAAGAGAATGATGAGCAACTGGTCATTATTTTTGTAAGAAAATTGTACTGAGAAAATATGATAAAGCCTATAGACAGCATCAATAATCTAGAGCATATGTTTTCATGTATGGCCTTAGTTGTCAGTTGTGCTGTTGCACTCTTGATTAGGGTGGGATAGACTCCCTTCACTTTGAGTACATTTGAACTCTGGCAGCATGCCTGACCTGCTTTTCCCAAGATCCATAGAGAAACACTGAGAGAACATGAAAGCCAAATTTTGAATTTTTAAATGTCAAGACTCATCCCCTTTGGGGGTCACAAAGGAAGAGACCTGATCCTTTTCAGGATCACTGAGCCAATGAAGAAGATTAAATAATTTGTCTCAGAGGAAAGTTAGGGCAAGTCTTTCTCAAAACATGGAAGTTTACAATATTTACTGTATTGATGCAATTTCCTTAGCAGATATAAGAAATTATCATTCAAGCCAAAAACAATAAAGCACTTCAAATACAAATGGCAATAAAACAGAACATTCCTACTATTGAAATTGGAAAATAGGGAGGGATATGAAGCACTAAAATTGTAACCTTTTGAAACTAGGCTTCCTCAAGTATTCTAAAAACCACATACATATGCCAGTTCTTTTTTATTGATGGAAGTAATTTTTAATCTTACTAGTTCATACTATTCCACACGATTTCCACACAAGAATGAAGAGGGAGAAAATAGAGGCAAAAAGTCATATGATTTTGAAACTCATCTCTACAGAAGCATTAGCAAAGTCCAAAGTTATATAACAGAAAAAGCAAACCTGTGAAGATATAAATAGTTAATTTGTTTAATTTAATTTCATGTCTCCCTGTACTGCCTGGGAGAAGAATTGAAGAATAAAGTTAATCCTGAGATGAAGGGAGAGGTGGGGGTGAAGGTGTTTCCAAAATTTAGTTTCATTTCTTATCATCCTATTCGGATTTGGTTGGTAAGAAATTAAAATAATTTCCCTGATACTTTTACCCTGATGGCAATTGCTGAGTGATCTCTCCCTGTCCTTAACTCATGAGCCTTTCATTGCACCTTCTGTTCCCTGTCCAGTTGAAAAGGAAGGGATACATTGGCTTTGGTTGGCACCTAGCGTCCTGCCAGAGCCAATCCACCTGAAAAGGCTACATGCAGGCATGATTTACTGAATAAAACTATCTATGTATGTAACACCTCACTCCTAGCTAAGTAACTTTAAAACAGATCATAAAACTTAAAAGCAATATCAAACAGCAAAGATTTAAAAAAAAAAAAAACAAACCAAAAAACAACAACTTAGTTTTATTCTGGCACAGTGATAAAGCCTAACAGGAAGAAGATTATCTCGGGCTAATACTTTGCTCAGCTTGTTCATGTTCAGTTCTGACTTTGCCTGTGCAAGTTAATTTGATTCACAAGTGCAAACAGTGACAACAGATAAATGTAGACGGTTTATCTTGTACAGATATATGCTGCTGATTGAACTTCTTTGCTTATTTGAAGTGAAACAGGAAATAACTATGTATTACCTTTGACATGTTGGCCTATTAATACTTTTCAGCATATTTTGCAGTAGCAAATATGTGGTAAGCAAAGTTGTGGTAAAATTACTTTCATGCTTAAAGATTCTCAGTAAATATAAGCTTCACTTTCTGTTGTTCGTTACACTCTTTAGTGAAAATTAACATATAGCACTGAAAATGGATTGCTTATTATATATAAGTATACTTCAAAAAGCCCGAGTTTGGCACAACTACTACTGATTGTCAACAACAGTAGAGCAGATTATAAAAATAGGCTCTAAATTTGAAGATTCTTCTTCTAGAAGTTATTGTCACATGATACTAGAATTTCAGTGTTTTCTGGTTAAGAAAAAAAATAAAATCAATATTGAGAGTGATGAACAGAGTGCCTGGAGAGGTAGTGGATGCCTTCTCATTGGAAAGATTCAAGGTCGGCTTGGGTGGGGCTCTGAGTCAACTGATCTAATTGAAGATATCCCTTCTCATTGTGAGAGAAGGTTAGACTAGATGGCCTTTAAATGTCCCTTCCAACCCAGACTAGACTATGACTTTTAAAAGAAGTTATGGAACTTGCAAGAGTATGATACTCCAGCAGTTTCAAGATGAGCAACAGAAGTTAAAAGGCAAACCCAATTGATTTCCTTGTGTAACATACGTATTATTTTCTGCTGAATGCCTACATAATATTTATCCTTTCAATATTTTATAAATAAGTCAGTAAAATAGTCTCCAAGTAAAGTCTCAATAAAAATATAATTACCAATTTCTGGTACATCTGATGGAAAAAGTTCATAATTATATTTATGATTACATACTTATGTTGAAGCAATGTAATGTTGAAACACCAGCAACATAATCTTTAAGAATGTAAAAAAGAAATTCGAAATTCAATTAAGAATAAATTAAGACTTTTCCTTTTTATAATGAAAGAAAAGAAACTGCTTCTAGTCTGCTATTTCAATATGAAAATTAAAAGGAATTAAATCAAAAAGATGTGGTTATTCCTGCTCTTCACTGTAACCTGTGTGTAAGGAGAGGTCAAATTAGCACACCCTGCCAAATCTTTTATTAACTGAACCCAGGTGTGATGCTGCTGTAGTGTCTAGATTTGTCCACAAATGCACTGATTAGAAAGGCTTGCATAGGTGGGTACAAAGAAGGCACAGACAATTGACAGCAATTTGCACAGCATGATT